CATCATCATTGCATTATTTTATGTCTATATATAAAATTTTTTAAAAATAATTATAGATTTCAGATTGGTCAACATTTCGCGTGTGTATCTTTTCAAAGTATTCGCAGCATGATTACTACCTGCACAGATATTAAACCTGGAAGACACTTCAAAGCAAAAAAGCGAATCAAGAGGCGCTTTTAAGGGCGAATAAAGGCAAATAAGAGAGTTGTTAGCCGTCGTTGTCCTTGGACGTCTAAAAACATAGTGACGTCGCCGCAAATAGATTTCTTGGCAGCAAACTGGCGACGCGAAAAGCTCGATCCTCGCTCCCGTGTTCGGGAAAAATCTGGCGCCCGCAGCAATGACAAGCACTCGCGCGTTGTTGGCCCTGCGAGAATTTTCGCGTCGCACCGGGAAAACATTCGAGACATTCGCCTCGTCGGATATCTCTCGCAATTTTTCTCTCTCTCTCTCTCTCTCGCCACGGAATCGCAATGCACTTTGGGAGATCCTTGGCAACAAGCTGATTCTGTCTCGCCCAGAGACAAGCGCTAGCATTGTAGCTATTTTGTCAACGATCAAAAGTCGAGACGAACGACTCGTAAATCACTGAAGAATCTGGGTGTAACCTTTCTATAAATTGTCTCGGATTTTTTCTAGCGTTTAAAATAATCCAGAATAGAATATTAGCTGCAACAGAGTGCATCGATTTTTTCTTAGGTATAGGAAAAATGTATTATCGAAAGAAAGATTTTATCACGTCACACACAGTTACTGAAAATTCGTATAAGAATTGTTTTTATTTAATACCATTGTGTTACTTTGGGTCAGATTAATTTGAAAATAAATATACAAAATTTAAAATCGCTGCTTTCACGAAACAACTACGAACAACTTTTTCAGACCTTGTACAGATATTATGGATCACATATATTGCGAGAGACTTTTGCACCTTTTCTTGAACATTTAAAAGGGGTTATAAATGAATACCTCTTTGAAGAGAGCCTTCTTGTCTTCTAATACGGTAAAAATAGTCGATAGGCGTTGACCCACAGAGAAGAGGGCCGTCGATGCCTACCTACGTTGTGAAACGTTGGCAGATCCATTTAGAACTGATAAATCGGCAATTTCGTTCGCGTTCACGTCATAAATTTATCAAAAAGATACATCAAAAGCACGTTATCTAATTTCACTCCCTTTATCAAATAAACATCACATATATCTTTCAGATAAAAATTCGAGATAAATACGGCGACTTTTGCTCTCGATTCCGATAAAGGACTCTATTACAATTCTCGATCTCGCCGCACACATAGGTATACATAAAACATGAAAATCGCCGGTATAAAGATGATACAAGGAGTAAACTAAATTATTCATTCGATCTCGTGAATAAAAAATTATCTCGCTCATCTTTTTTCTTCAAGAAAAATGTACATCTTTTATTAACCTCTTCAAGTATACCTATTTGTACCTCGATATATTTTCGTTAATGAAAAATCGATATCGAATCGATCGGAGAATCCGTAGATGAAAGACGACGTGATGGAGGTCACTGTATATAGCGTTAGTAATCTCGTTAGTTAAGACCATCACACAAGAGAGAGAGAGAGACGCCGAGACGTGTCGTGAATTTTAAAAACCACGAATCGCCACCCGGGCATCCCATTAACCCCGGGGGCTTTGTAGCGCATGATTAGTTTTTCCGTCGTCGTCGTGGTCGACGACGGAGTCGCCTAACGAGATTGTCTCCGGAGTGCAGCACGCGAAGACCCGATCAAAAGCGAAGTCGTTATACAGCGGATTCGTGGGGAAATTGGGTCGGTCTCTGTAACGCCTCGACGTCGCGATCGTACATATTGAGTTACAAGAAACTCGAGGGAGGGAGAGAAGCGAGAGAGACAGCTCTTCTCGAGAATTCTCCAGAGAGACGAAATGCGCGCGCGACGTCCGCGTCGATATTTATTAGATTACCCAAGTGACGGACGGTTTTCGTCTATTCGAATGCGACCCAGGATGTGGAATAAACCGGAGAATAGAGAATACGATGTCCGACATTCACAAGTAACACGCCAGCGATATCGCGTGTGACGAGCATCTCGGGACTTCCCGAGGGATTCGGATACTCGACTCGGTGAGCTGCGTCACGATCATCTTTTTGCTCTTAGACGAGAGACGGTTAATGAACGTTAAACATGCAAGAAACGACGCGAGGGAACGATAGGTACGATAAAAACCTACGTAAGAGTATGTATCGGTCATTCATTTATAGCGAATTTCGAGCGAAAAAAAAAACGTACGACTCGCTTGTAAAATGTCAAAATTTTCTTTAATCTGAATTATATATATTGAATCGATTAATTAAGTATGTAAAAAAAACGTCAATTGTATTCTTTTGCCGAAAAAGTTACAACTTTGAAGTATCCATAGATAAATACTCGCTCTATTGTATGTATATTACAAACCAATTATTTCCATTTATAGGGAAACAATGTAGGAGGAATGATCGACGTAAAAATGGGATGGAGGAAAAATAATCGGAAATTCAATCGCATTTGTAAGCACGCTACAGGGATCTAAATGTCGCAAAAATTAATATCAGCTTGGCAGTCACACCTCACTTATCGCGTCACAGTTTGTATGCAACACATTGTTGAATACTGCAGCATTGCAATATCGCATGAGAATAGGATACCTTTTCCGATCCAGTCGACCTAATCCACTAATCCCAACGGGATTGCAACCTTGACAATTCGTTCTCCCGACCTGAACACATACGTCCTTCGTGTTTGACCAACAGAAAGATCTCTCTCATATACATATATATATATATATAACCCTTAATATTACAGAGAGTATAAATTTCGCAAACCGAGCCGAACACGTGGGATCGATATTCGCGGGCATGCTTCTTCACATTTTGTCACGCCAACTGTGTTTTGCATTTTATTCGAATTAAAATAACGCAATTCTCGATTATCGTTACGCCCGTGAAAACAAGCGGACAAAATTGTACCCTTTTAGCCAGGAATTTACGCATACATTCGCAATTCTCTCTCTTTCTCTCTCCTTTATATTAAATTATATTATATACACAGACACATGTATTCAAGAGTTTTTAATCAACAATTAAAAAAAATATCGAGTCGTACTATTTCAAAGTTTTATAAATCCTTTCCATTAAAAGTGTCATTTAGCAAATTACTGTACGGTTGATTCGCTCGTTTCGACTTTAATTCGTTATAATAATTTTTATTTTCGTCTAAATATTTTGTCCAAAACCTGCATTTTTCCTTCCATATACGCAGACAGTGAGATACTAAAGCAAACCGTTAGTGGAATAAAATTTCACGAGTACCTCTCGACCTGTACATAGCATATTTTGTTTCCAGAGGTGGTGTGCGTGTTGTCGCAACACAGCGATATTATTAGTTACACCCGTTGTGCATCGAGTGCACTCGCGACCACTATTTCATAGCGAAACGTCAAAGCGACCGAACTTTTTTGCCGCGTGTGCACGCACGCGATAAATATCGCGGTTCTTAATACGCGGCGTTTAGAATGTCGACACCATCTCGCGACGATCGTCCTCGAGGGAGAGATAGTCGCGTATTAAAACTGCTTTAAAGCCAGGTTAATCTCTCGTTCCGCGCAAATTAAGCCCTTGGCACTCGACGAACTATCTCTCGAAGAGCGGACGATCGCGAATATAACGAATTGCGTAGCAACACGTGTTTGACGTATATGCTAAAGGGAAATATATTCAGCTACGAGAGAGTGCTAATATAAACCGAGGGAAGCGCAATTCAGTACTGCTTAGAGGTCACAAAATGTTGATTTCGTTGAATTATTACCGTAATTGTTAATTTACAATTTCATTACACGCACGAATTAAATAAAATGAAATATATATCGTATATATATATATATATATATATATATATATATATTTCTGGCAATTTACCAACCTAATAATTATGATATATATAATACAGTTATAATTATAACATAATGCATTTATATCATTATAACAAATTAGCTACCTATTACTGTACTTAATATAAATGTGTGATTTTCACAGGCATTAAATTATTAAATAGCCCAATAAAAGGGTAATCCGTTTATATATATGTAAAATTAATTACTGTAATGATAGGAATCACAGGCAATAGTCGAAAACTATCCACGGTGATTTGAATTTTATGACAAAACAGTTTTTACGTCGTATGTATATTAAATATAATTTCGTCACGAGTCGATCGCACATCGCACCTCCTTCAGCTCCAGATCCGATGCTTCTGCGGAAGCTTTGGCGAGCAAGAGAGCGAGTAAAGAGTGTCCAGGTATATGAGAGGGTGGCCGCGTGTGGCGAGCTTCAACAGCTCGTCTGACCTTTCGAAATTCTGCTCGAGTGTAACTTATTTGATTACGGATAATCGATCAATTGATCTTGCGGCGCGTTGTCCTCGAATGCGGCTGCCAATGAAAGCGATCAGTAATTACGACAAGACGCGACAAGACGAGCGGTCGCTCGTCAATCACGTCACTTTTTGATTACGGCTGATTGTGAAAGGTTCGTGAAACGGCGACGGGAACAAAATTCTCGACAATTTGCGGCCTTCGTCAAAATCAACCGAATTTCAAATCGATGACATTGATTCGTCAGAGAGAATGCGAGAAATGAGTAAATGTTCGTATATATAACATTAATTATTTCCCAGGACCACGCACATTGTACGCACAACATAATAGCGCAAAAACTCTTTAACAGCCGTACAAAGGCAGTCACGTACACTGAAAAAAAATTTATTTAATTCGAATAAGTATTTATTTCAATACTGCCAAATGAATCATTTATATATTTGAAACTAATAATATATTTATTTGGTACAAGAAAATCCTTTTCAAAACAAAATATATGTATTAATTTATATGTATTAATCATTTTTTTCAGTGTATATCATTGTTAAATAAAATTTCAGAAAATCTCTTCGCCCATTATTGTATTAAAATCAATTTTACATTATATACAGGGCGTTCGTTATATATGTTGATACTGCCGCGCGAAAAAAACTTGATAGATTTTTCAATCAATTTAGACGAATTGATTTTTTTGTTAGCAAAAATGCATTCAACGAATTGCATTGCCTCCCGTTTCACGCAAACGTTATTCGTATTATTCCGGTTCATCGACTATTTATTAATCTGGCTAACCCAGGAGTCTCGGCTCGCAGTTTGTCCCACCGTTATACGCTGAGACGCGCGAGACTCGCCGCAGTAGAAAGAGTCAGTGTTGCGCGGGCCACCGTGGCGCGAGGACGTGCCTCCCTCGTGCTGCGTTGTGTGACAGACATTAGTACGTGCGTGCGTGCGTGCGTGCTTTATTGGCCGGATCCTTCCGGGCTTTCGTTTCCTATTTTTTTCTCTTCGCGTTTCCTCTTTTCTTCCTTCTCGTCTGATTGTTACCAATTCATTTTGCTCCGAACGTGCGTGCGTGCGTGCACGCGTGCACCCGTTTCGCGGAGAACTTTTAAACTTTCGTAGAAACTCTCGTATTTTCTCTCGCGCCAATCAAACGTGTGTATCTACATGTGTATGTGTACATGTATGTTGTAATTTGGTTTCGTCTCGTTTACATATTTACTTTCTTTTTTCCTCGTTTTCGCGTTTGACTCTCTAAACGCGCTTTGGTCAGATAATCAGCCGGATAACAATGCAACCCGTTATTATGCACTCGGTAAGTCGTAATTATGTAGATAAAAGAGAAATTATTAATGTATTAAATATACCGCAGAAATATATCATTATGAAAATAATCTTATTAACGCATTCTCTTTAGCCCACATACATGTAAATTTATTCCAAGTATTTTTTTAACGATAAAATGAAATTTAAAGCGCTCTTTGTGTAAATATCATTTTCGCGATAATATCATACATTATTTTCATACTTAATATGATTTAGAAATAATAACAAAAATATGTGTAATTTGCTTCTGCGTATTTAGAATTTTATAAAATTGTTTGAGAAGAAATTAGAGAACTGTATAAGGACTAAAGAAAAGGACAAAAAACGGCATTAAAGAGAAAAATCAACGCTCTAAAATTAACAGAACGAAAGAGCATGATATTAAAGAAAATGTATAATAATGTTTCATTTTTTCCGCAACGAATTCAGTGCGGTTACCAAGGGAATTAATCCCTCAAGTGGGAATCCCGTCAATATCGTCGATGTAAATCACAAGTTCCACTTTTCAGAGTTTGTTTGTTCGCGCGGGGGTATCATATATAAATTAATATTTCAACGTAAAACGAGAAGAGGAAGACTTACCGATGCCGTGCACGTAACGCGAGCGCGGCACATCGCGGTTTTCCCATCGCCGCAAAACAGATAAATAATGTGCGCCAAAGAGAGAGGAATCACCGAGCGAATATTAAAGACTTTTATTAACTTGTTCTCTCGTCGAGCGTAATGCGGCCCGAGAAAAGAACTCTCTTTTATCAATTATTTTCCATGTGTATCCAATTAAATAATCACAACTGACTAAGTATACTCAATGTACTTGAATTAACGTTCAATTAAATACATGCATTAATTGAGTCTCTAATTAAATATGTATATGATTAATGTTTGTACTTTTTAAGATGCCAGAACAAAATGTGTAAATAATGTTTCAATCTTAGAACCTTTTTTTTATTATTGTATAATGTATAGCGAAAGTAATCTATTCTCGCGTAACTCGATTATATTTTGTTTTTAAGTTACCAACTAATAAATCAGTAGAAAATAATGTGACATTTATGTGCAATTTTTGTTCACTTTTTTTACTTGATATATGTCATTTAAACGTATCATTTAGCCCTCTTTATGGCTTATTTTTAAACAACTACGATGAAAACACTGTGGTTAAAAGCATAAATTTAGTAAACAACAAAGATGACACAAGCTCATGGTTTATGTGCTGAAACATCCCCTGGTGAATCATCAAAATGAGTAGAATGGAGCTCATTCGAGACAAACAAATAATGTATGCCATGTTACATGACATAACAAATATGAAATTGTACGCTTCTGTCAAAACGTTACTGTATATTTGCATAGTCATAAAAAAAACCTTTTCCTCGTTTTAATAAATGTATATATCATTCTGGAATGTAACGGAGTGTCAATTTTAATTTTGCAGAGAAATATTGCATGATATTTGTTAGATATTGATTTAAAATTTCTTTTTTTGCATCATAGTGCGTTGAATAAGTAAATCTCGCGGGAGATTATAAATTCATTGGATGAATTCTCCCGATAATAAAATAAAGCGAATCATCCCCGGCTTATAATATGTAGATATTATGGCGCTCTCTATTATGGCATAAACTTTTCTCATTCTTTTCTTTATACTTTATACATAGAAAAGCTTGTTATTGGTGGTATAATTAAAGAAGTGATAATCTCTCTCTCTCTCTCTCTCTCCGTGGAAAATAAATCTCGAATATGAGAATAATAAAACCGTCTTTTTCGAGAATATTAATATTAGGAAAAGATTAACAAATTAATATCGTGCTTCATGACATTTTTACACTTGGATAACTTTGGACTACAATGCGACATAAATCGTTCAAAATACATCAACAGCGATTATAAAAGTACAATTTAAAAAATTCAACGCATTCGATTAAAAAATATATGTAATAGAAAAAAAATTTAATAAAAACTGGAATAAAATACAAAGATTGTTTTCAATTTCTATATAAAATGGAATGAATTACATATCTTTATTCATATATTCCAGTAGACGCTGTTGAATCAAAATTCACCCAATGGTTCAGCGTCATTGGAAGTTATGCGAGTTTATAAGAATGACATTCCACATTCGATGTTTCATCGGAGAAAAGAGAATAAAGTTTACGAAAAAAACTTTTCGATATTCGCGTAATATATCGCGCGATCTCTTCACGAACCGTCGATATATATCTCGCCGTATATTCACAACCTGCTCTCGCATATGCGACCACGACGTGGACTATCGCTTCATCTTCCGATGTACTCGCACTCGACGATTCTGCGCCACGTGTCCGAACATTTTTATGTCCGTCGAGTGCCTGACCTGCTGTGCATCATTGACGAGTCCCTCTTATAAGTGGCAGCTATACCGTTATAACGTACAATTCAATAATTCAAGCTATATCTAGCTAAAACTCAGAGTGAAATATTAAATTATGAGAGACGAATCATCTCCCGCGCATAGAATACTAATCGAAGTATATTATTCTTGTATAATAAGAAGAATTAATTTTTCAATATATAAAAGTGCATTTCGAGACAAATATACAGGATGACTCGATATGTATTTTATATGACGATAATTGTTAAAAATGTGTATTAAAAGTTTGAAAAAGGCAATTATTTGTTGCGGTATAATCACACAAAATATGAAAAAATAAAATAGAGAGAATAATAACACACGTATGATTTTAACATAATTGTATCTTTGACATAATTTTCGACTCTTCCCTCTGATTAATCCTAACGAGAGATCACACGTGTACGGTAAGATACTCTGTACTCTGCACATTAAATCATAAATCATTTTATCCCTCAAGAGTGAGTGTCTCTTGTATGTCGCTATTTCATTCAGTCACGAATTCAGACGGAGACGAATCTCTCGCGGAAGGAATCATCCCTCTAAGGAACATATATGGAATTAAAGGTAATTCAACCTCTCCAGCCCGGAGGTACATTCTTCGCCTCGGAAACGGAGCATGTTTCTCGAGAAAGCAATTCCGTCCTTTATAAGAGCCCTCGCTTTTACCTACCTACCCTGATGTATGAAAGGCAAAGCCTGGTCTTCCTGCCTATATCTACCCCTCGATGAGTAGCACGAGTCGGTAAAGTGGTTCTCATGGCCGACGGCCTGCTATCGGATTTCGTTCCATTTCCAAACCCCATTCGGGGCCAACGCCGGACATTACACCCGTTAAAATAGCTTTCTCGTGTTTTGCGCGCCGCCGTGTTGTTTCTCTCTCTCTCGATTCCCGCGGTAATCGCGAAACTCTCGCGCATTATCGCCCGTAAATCCTCGTAACGCGCGTAATTTTACGAGAAAAATAACGTCGCGATCGCTCTTCCGTAAACTCATTCAGGAACGCTACGTATTCTTACGAGAACATGCGTTTTCATTTGTAACGTATGTCGCGTGTTTTCAACTTTTACATTCCAGCGATACAAATTATACGTATTATACCATATACGTGTAGTTTTATACGCGTTCGAGAAGATTTCTACATAGTCAGAAAATAGTTCAAAACACTGCTCGTCTTAAATCTCATCGCGTATTCCTTTGTATTTCTTTCTCCGCTTTCGCAGAAATAGATTAAAGTTAACTGAAGCATCAGAATTTAAATGGATGCATTTATCTATTTTTTACACGAATGTCTGACGAAATTTAAATGACGAAACCTAAAAAAAAAAAAAAATGAACGGTGCAGAGATTAAATCACTGTTCCATTTGTCGCTAACAAGAGATAATTTCAGAAAAAAGATTATATAGAAGAAATAACGATTCAATATAAAATCGTGATAAAAACGATTTCGAATTACATGATTAACGATCATATGATCAAGAATAATTGAATTATATAACTTGATGGCTTCGCGACGAACAAAAACGTGAGACGAAAAAGTACAAATCGAATGCGTCATCATTATTTTTTACTATCCGTGGATTTGATCACAAAGTGCCGGGAGCATCTTCCAAGTATCAAACTACTTTCAATTATCTCCCGTTGCGTGGATTTACGTGTATCGGCCGACAGTCGGTGTCGAAGATCGAATGAAGAGGCAATCGATAGAATCGGTTTTCATTCTCTCGCATTTTCTTCCTCTCGCTACTACAAATAGAAATCGGACTAGATCCCCGACTATGATTAACTAACGCGCTTAATTAGAACGGCGCCGAAGGGACCGTTTTAATAGCCAAGTGCTTTTCAATCAGCTGTGAAGTCTGTATTTTCGTAAAATTTTAATTAAAATTAGTGACGTAAATTGCTCGACCATTATAATAGCTCTTACAGAGAGTTGATGGAAATTCAATCATTTACTTTTATGTGGGTACCTACTATCGAATTTGAATAATTGATATGTTCCAAATTTAGCAGAAAATATGCGTGATTTTTTTCATCTCAATTTATCCCCCATGAATGAAAATTGATTGATCGAGCTGATTAAAATTCGAACGAATGAATTCGTCTTACGAAAGAGAAAAGTCTTTAGAAATTGGAACTCGACAGGTATAACGCGCGTCTCGATGCGCGAGAGGGCTGACCTTTTCATATTTCTCTGACTCGATTCCAAGCGCACACCTCTTTCTGGCATTGGCCGCGCTTTTTCAAGTTTATTCCTGCCAACGACTGGCCACGAGCTAGCTCTATCGCGATCAGCTGCGTCAGATCCATCAAGATTTCTCTCTCTCATTCCTCGGATACGCGCACGCGCTCGCGAATCGCTACGTGCGTCACACGAACCCGCGATGAGTATCGTTTTATTCTCACACGACACGAGAATCCGTTTTATTTTCACGCTACGGGGATCGCCATCCCCTGTCGGCTTACAACCTCCGTCGAAACTCAGAATTGCCCCACCGCGGCGAAGGGTCCGATCGGAAAAAGCCGGGGGCTTTACCTGCGAGATATGAATTTGCATGCCAAATTCCTGCTGGGTGAAAATCGATTGGAAGCCAAAAAA